TAAAATATATAGTTTATTTCCATTTGTGATTTAATTTTATTTCTATAAATAAAAACTACAGATAGTGTTTCATCTAAAAACTGCTAAACCAGACTTTCATTTTAAGGGCATGGCAGAAGTAAGGAAAGGCTAACTTGGTTCGATTACTTAACATATTATTTATTGAGGTAGTCACCAAAACCAGAATTTAAAATCTATTTTTAGTTAACTCATTTAAAGTTGATGTGTTTTATTCCTTTTTTTTCCTTTTTGTGGAGATCTTTTTAACTGAATTACTGGAAGTCATGGGGAGCTCTACTCCTCCTAGGCTATCTTACTAAGTTCAATATTCAAAGCTTTATCTTTCTGCCACTAAGTTTAATTTTACATTAAGCTCAGTTTGTATTATGATATCAAATTCAGCCTGAGGGATTACTTTAAACTTTCCTAGGGTATTTACAGATTTAATTTGTTCTTACAGTATATAAATACCAAGAGAGCATTCCATTTAATATTATTTTTATTAAATTAACTTTGGAGTAAAAGATCCAAGAAAAGCCCTATGCTGAAATCACATGTTTACTAAATCCTGGATTCTCTGTATAGTCTTCACATATTTCTACTTTACAATTCTTGTGAAATAATTCATTAAAAGAAGCAGGCAGATAATGACAAGTAAACTTTTTAATTATGTTCTAAGGTTGACAATTGCAGTTTATTTCGCTTGGATCATAATGGCGTGTAAGCATTTTAGGCCCCAGAATGCCAATAAGTAGAGCTCCATTTGGAGCTGTGATCAAGATGGCTAAAAATGCTACTGTCATCACATCCTTCGAATATGATTCCAAGTGGGGTGCGGAGATTCTTGCTGTTTCTAGAGCCAGAGGGCCTAATACAGCCTGCATTTAGGGGTAAAAATGGGGCATAAAGAAAAATGTTAAACTGAGTAAATATATAAATGGCTCTGTTAAAATAAAATCTAGTACTAGACTATTAAAAAAAAGCGAAAGTACTCAGTAATTTTCATGTTATTCATCAATTCCCTGTTCTTCTTAGATGTGGAAGAAGGGTACAATATTGACAAATCGCCAGGCAAATATTTTCGGGCTGATTTTGTGCTCTTGCCCTCTCAGTTTTCCTCTATTCAAATACCTCTTCTGAGTGATCATGTTGCCCTCATAACACTAGGAGTTCTAACAAAACCAGTTTTGCTTAGTTACCTTTACAATGTATCAGTGGTTCTTGGCTACAACAAGACAACATAAAATATTAAGGTTTCTTATGGTTCTCTAGGATTTGTTGCCCTTCTCATTGTTCTCTCTATTCGGGGGCACTGTGTTATAGCAGAACTGACAGCAGGCTTGGAATCTAGCAAACTGGGTTTGAATTCTGTTTTTGCTGCAACCAGGCTAGTGATCTTGTACAAATGACTCAAGCTTTCTAAACTTCTACTTACTTACTTGTAAAATGAGGAAAAAATACTTATCTTAATGGATGGTTGTGAAAATTAAATATGAGAATGCAAAGAACACCTGGCACACAGTAGGTATTCAGGTAATAGTAAGTTTCTTTCTCCCCAACTCACTCCTCATCCCCTGCCAGTCAGAGAATTAATTCCCTTGAAGTTTTTGTTTTAAAATTACTCTACTGGGTTGCAAGATTTTTTTTTTCCTAGTTACTATCACATTATTTTTAATAACATAAAGCAAATTTCTTGTTAGCCCTCTTTCTTTGTGTTTAATAATCCAGGCATGAAATTGCCTTAAAATTTGGGGGAATTAAATACCAACATATAACACATTTTCTATGGAGTTGCAAAGTAACAACATAACAGTAAAAACATTACCTCTGATATGGAACATTATGGGAAAAGAACCCCTCAATTTAAGATCAATTTCTATATCGTAAATCAATAATTTAAAATGGTATCTTTTTATATAATAACTTTTAATGTACTGAACACAAGCCAGTGTGCTGGATGATGCAAGGGAGAAGAAGATAATCAGGGAGAAAACCAACTCTAAAGACCCTTACAGTTTAGAAGAAGATTTGAACATAAAATAACTACAAATAGAAAAAACAGAAAACAAACCCACTGACTTTTAAGAGATGATGATGATGAAACTAGAAATAATATTTATATAATTATATGGCATTCATCATATAGCAGATATCATTCTTAAAGCTTTCCCTTTAACAACTCATTTAATTCGCATGACAACCTTATTATGTGAGGACTATTATTAGATCACAAGATTTCTCCTAGTGACTGAGATTTAATATTATTTATTTAAAAAAGAATCCAATTGCCAACCTGATCTTACATTTGTAAACTAAATTCTTTCTTTACTCTCCTAGTAGCTTCTATTTTTCCACTCTAATTTTTATCAGTAACTCTAAACTGAGGAATAAGAGAAGGAGCTGAACCCTAGCCAATTTTATTTCAGCAGCAGAGAATGGTGGAAGAGGATAAAGGTGAAAATAATTTAAAATTAAAATTTCAAATATTTGTTGATCTTATTTACTTGTGACATTACCATTATCTATTATTGCTATTGTGACTCTACTTGTATAAATAATTAATTTTTTATGTCTTGCCAGTTCCTGGAACCAGCTTGATACTCTTTGTGCAGAAGCTAGCCTGGAGCCAGTAGACAGGAATAGGCAGAAGCAGAATAACACCGCAGGACTTGAGTGAGTGGTCTCTTTCCTCATACCTGCTTTTCTTTTTTCCTTGCTTTATGAAAACTATGAAATAATAAAACAAAATTACAAGAGTATTGTTGGAAGGAGAGAGAACAGAGGGATGCACAGATAGCTGTAGATTTATTATTCCCTGCGGCAGACATTAAAAATAAGATATTATAATTTATATTACTTGAAGGTAAGATAAAATAACAACATTAGCTGAGCACCACCATATGCCAGAGAGAATGCTAAGCACTTTACATGGATCCTGACAACACTGCTATGAAGTAGATACAATCGTAGACTTCATTGTAAGACAAGAAAGAACACTGAAGCACTGAGAGATTAGAAAATAATTTTCCTGAAGTTATAGGCAAGTAACATGGTATTCAAAACAGGTAGTCTGGCTTTATGAACCTGCTTTTCTAACCATGATAATAGAGGTTTTGTTGCATGAAAATTTAGGAGCTTCTGTTTTGGAATAACAACTGAGAAAAGAACCACAGGAAACTGAGGTATATTATGCTAGCAATTAAACAGCCTAACAATAAGTAGCAATATATTTTAGTAGGAGGAGAATATCCTTGAATAAGAGGGCAAGATTATAAGGTTTCCCTTTCTGTTCATTCATTCTTGTAGGCATGCAATACATATTTGCCTCCTGCATGTCAGGCACTGTGTTAAGTGCCAGGGAAAAATAATGAAAAACAACTGCAACAACCAGACATTGTCCCTGTCCTTACATAGGCTATCAAGGTTGGGGGGAGGGTAGAGATTTAGCCATCAACCAAATAGTTATACATATAAATGTGAAATTAATAACAATATATGTGCATTTGTGTGATGGAGTGCGTGGCAGAGACAGGAAAGGTTTTTTTTAAAAAATCAATGTGTATCTATTTTATTTTACTTTTTTTTTTTGAGACGGTCTCACTTTGTCACCCAAGCTGGAGTGAAGTGGCGTGATCTCAGCTCACTGCAGCTTCAACCTCCTAGGTTCAAGCAATCCTCCTGCCTCAGCCCCCAAGCAGTTTGGGCTACAGGTGCGTGGCACCACACTTGGCTAATGTTTGTGTATTTTTTTGTAGAGACGAGGTTTTGCCAGGTTGCCCAGGCTGGTCTTGAACTCCTGAGCTCAAACGATCTGCCTGCCTTGGCCTCCTGAAGGGCTAGGATTACAGACATGAGCCACTACACCCAGCCTGTGTCTCTACTTAAAAAAATTGTAACAATTTAGCTTTGTTATATTCAGCAATACATAAAAACTCCAATTTTCAGATATATTCTTATTATATATTTTAGGAAAATACAAAACATATTTTCACAAACTTAGGAAGTACTTACCATTGAACGAATACTTATTAATTTCAAAAGAATTGCTATTAAAACTGAGATATAAAAAGATTACATGGGCTGGGCCCAGTGGCTTATGCTTGTAATCTCAGCACTTTAGGAGGCTGAGGCAGGAGGATCACTTGAATCCAAAGGTTCAAGACCTGCCTGGGCAACATAGCAAGACCTCCTTTCTAAAATAAAATCAGAAAAAAAGGCTAGGCATGATGGCCCATGTCTGTAATTCCAGCACTTTGGAAGACCAAGGCAGGCAGATTGCTTCAGATCAGGAGTTTGAGACTAGCCTGATCAACATGGTGAGACCCCATTCTCTACTAAAAATACAAAAATTAGACTGGTGTGGCGGTGTGCACCTGTAATCCCAGCTAGTCTGGAGGCTAAGGCAGGAGAATCTCTTTAAACTGGGAGGCAGAGACTGCAGTGAGCTGAGATCATGCCACTGCACTCCAGCCTGAACAACAGAGTGAGACTCTGTATTAAAAAAAAAAAAAAGTCAGAAAAAAAATTAGCTGGGTACGGTAGCAGGTGTCGGTGATCCTAGCAACTCAGGAGGCTGATGTGGGAGGATTGTTTGAGCCCAGGAGGTTGAGGCTGCAGTAAGCTCTGATCACGCCACTGCACTCCAGCCTGCATGACAGAGTGAGACCTTGTCTCAAAATAAAAATAAAAATGGTAAAATGTTACTTTTTTTTTTTTTTTTTTTGGTTTTGGTTTGCTGGTTAAAGATGGAGTCTCGCTCTGTCGACCAGTGGCACCATCTCAGCTCACTGTAACCTCTGCCTCCCAGGTTCAAGCAATTCTCCTACCTTAGTCTCCTGAGTAGCTGAACTAGTTACATTAATTTTATTGAATAGTTATGATCAAACATTTAAAAAGTAAGGCTAATAGCTCATATTTTGTAATTGGAGTAACATTTTTCATTTTTATTTTTAAAAGCATCAAAATGAAAGCATTAAACAATAGACTTAATATGTTCTTACCTGGACTGTAGCTTTGGGCATCCATGCGAAAGCAATAAATATTTTCTCTTTAAAACTAAAACCAGCAAAGCACATCAATAGATATGTGATTAAAATTCGAACACATAATGCCAAACTCACAGTAGCAACAGATATGCCTACAACAGATGAAAACAAACATAAATAACAAAATATTTGGGAAGAAGTGTTCTTAATGCCCAGAGAAATGATTTCTAAAACTTTTAAAAGAATTTTAAGTTTACTGTCTCTCCATGTCTTTATTTTTTACATAAAAACCATGATTATAAAAAATGAATATAATTGAGGATTCTCTGTAAAGTACAAGAGATTATCTGATGGTGGAGGTACCATGAAAAATAAGACAGATGACATTTATTCAATTCTGAACTAATAGATTTTTTTTGAATACTTTTAAAATTATTATTAATTTATTTTTTGAGAAGGATTCTTGCTCTGTCACCTAGGCTGGAGTGCAGTGATGTGATCTCAGCTCACTGCAACCTCTGACTCTCAGGTTCAAGCGATTCTCCTGCCTCAGCCTTCCAAGTAGCTGAAATTACAGGTGTGTATGACCACACCCAACTAATTTTTGTATTTGTAGTAGATAGGCAGTTTCCCTATGTTAGCCAGCTGGTTTTGAACTCACAACCTCAAGAAAGCTGTCCGCTTTGGGCTCCCAAAGTTCTGGGATTACAGGGTGAGCCACCATGCCCAGCCAATACCTTTAAGTGAAAGTATTCAAAAAGTGCTGATCATATCAAATATTTTCCCTCAGAAAAGAACTCTTACATTTATTTCCTCAGATAACTCTGGGAAGATATTCAGGGCTGTCCTTGTTTTTTTGTTTTCTGTTTTAATTAATTTTTTTAAAAGAGCACACTGTGAAAAGGAAGAGCAATATGAAAGTATAATATTGTATCAACATGTGTTTTCTGAAGAAGGTCCTTGTAGCCATTCAAAGATATATTGTAAATAAAAATAAAAATATTCATAATTTTCTTAAATATTTTTGAATTTCATATATTTTGTGCTCGAATTATTCTTACCAACAGTATTTGATTCAAGAGATGAAACAGATACTTCTGCTCCAACTAAACCAAAAAGAAGTGGTTGAAAAATATCCCATACATTTGTAATAATCTTTTGGACTTTCATCTATAGAAAAGAGAAATACATTTATAATTATTTTGGCACACAAATATATTCCAGAAACTTAAAGTCTCATTTTTTTTTTTTTAACTTTTAAAGTATTTTAGAGACGGGATCTTGTTCTGTTGCCCAGGCTGGAATGTAGTGGCACAATCATAGCTCACTATAGCCTTGAACTCCTGGGCTCAAGTAATCCTCTTGCCTCAGCCTCCCAAGTAGAACTACAGGTGTGTACCACCATGCCAGGCTAATTTTTAAATTTTTTGTAGAGATGGCATCTTGCTGTGTTGCCCAGGATGGTCTGGCACTGCTGTCTTCAAGCAGTCTCTGGCTGTGGCCTCCCAAAGCACTGGCATTATAGGCATAAGCCACCATGCCTGGCCTAAAGTCATTTAACATTTAATAAACTTAAGACATTCTATTTTTCCAAAAATGTTAAACTTAATTAATAAAAACTGAGCACTTTGATAGTTTTACTCAAACACTTAGTAGAATTTGATTAAAAGTAACTGACAAAGCAATAAAATGATACTATTTGGCCATTTTGTCATAGAATAAGTGATGTCCTTGGAGTTTTACCATGTTTACTAAGAGTTCCAGATTTTGTTTGTAAGTTAATTGAACAGAGATAGAACTATATAATGTCTGATCAGAAAATAACCAGTTCATGAAAACATTTGGGTTCTCAGAAAGGGGTTGGGAAGCCCTCCACTAACAACCATCCTGGAACCCAATCCCATTAAAGTGAATCCTGGCATAGCATACACTACTAGCAAAAGCAATTTGGTAGTCTGCTAGCCTGGCTTCCAAAGAACCCCTGTTGAATACTTTAAAGTTACTTTTTCCTTAAAACCAAACCAAAACATATATTAGATTCTCATTTAGTTGCCTACCCAGCTTCCCTTTCTGTCTATGTTTGCTGATGACATGATTGTATATTTAGAAAACCCCATCATCTCAGCCCAAAACTTAAGCTGATAAACAACTTCAGCAGAGTCTCAGGATACAAAATCAACATGCAAAAATCACAAGCATTTCTATACACCAATAACAGACAAACAGAGAGCCAAATCATAAGTGAACTCCCATTCACAATTGCTACAAAGAGAATAAAATACCTAGGAATACAACTGACAAGGAATGTGAAGGAGATGTGAATACAACTAACGAGGAATGTGAACCTCTTCAAGGAGAACTACAAACCACTGCTCAAGGAAATAAGAGAGGACACAAACAGATGGAAAACATTCCATACTGATGGATAGGAAGAATCAATATTGTGAAAATGGCCATACTGCCCAAAGTAATTTATAGATTCAATGTAATCCCCATCAAGCTACCATGGACTTTCTTCACAGAATTGGAAAAAACAACTTTAAATTTCATATGGAACCAAAAAAGAGCTTACATAGCCCAGACAATCCTAAGGAAAAAGAACAAACCTGGGTGCATCACACTACCTGACTTCAAACTATACTACAGGCTATTGTAACCAAAACAGCATGGTAATGGTACCAAAACAGATATATAGACCAACGGAACAGAACAGAGGCCTCAGAAGTAGCACTACACATCTACAACCATCTGATCTTTGACAAACCCGATAAAAAGCAAGCAATGGGGAAAGGATTCCCTATTCAATAAATGGTGCTGGGAAAACTGGCTAGCCATATGCAGAAAGCTGAAATTGGATCCCTTTCTTACACCTTATACAAAAATTAACTCCAGATGGATTAAAGACTTGAATGTAAGACCTAAAATCATAAAAACCCCAGAAGAAAACATAGGCAATGCCATTCAGGACAGTGGCATGGGCAAAGACTTCATGACTAAAACACCAAAAGCAACAGCAACAAAAGCCAAAATAGACAAATGGGATCTAATTAAACTAAAGAGCTTCTGCACAACAAAATAAACTATCATTAGAGTGAAGAGGCAACCTACAGAATGGGAGAAGTTTTTTCCAATCTGTTTATTTGAGAAAGGGCTAATATCCAGAATCTACAAGGAACTTAAACAAATTTACAAGAAAAAAAAACCCCATTAAAAAGTGGGCAAAGGATATGAACAGATACTTCTCAAAAGAAGACATTCATGAAGCCAACAAACGTGAAAAAAAGGTCATCATCACTGGTCATTAGACAAATGCAAAGCAAAACCACATTGAGATACCATCTCATGCCAGTTAGAATGGCAATCATTACAAGTCAGGATACAACAGATGCTGGAGAGGATGTGGAGAAATAGAAATGCTTTTACACTGTTGGTGGGAGTGTAAATTTGTTCAGCCATTGTGGAATACAGTGTGGTGATTCCTCTAGTACCTAGAACTAAAAATACCATTTGATCCAGCAGTCCTATTACTGGGTATATACCCAAAGGATTAGAAATTATTCTGCTATAAAGACACATGCACATGTATTTTTACTGTGGCACTGTTCACAAGAACAAAAACTTGGAACCAACCCAAATGCCCATCAATGATAAGACTGGATAAAGAAAATGTGGCACATATATACCATGGAATATGATGCAGCCATAAAAAAGGATGAGTTTATGTCCTTTGCAGGGAAATGGATGAAGCTGGAAACCATTATTCTTAGCAAACTGACTCAAGAACAGAATACCAAACACCGCATGTTTTCACTCATAAGTGGGAGTTGGACAATGAGAACACATGGGCGCAGGGAGGGGAACATCACACACTGGGGCCTGTTGTGGGGTGGGAGGCTAGGGGAGGGATAGTATTTGTAGAAATACCTAATGTAGATGATGAGTTGATGGGTGCAGCAAACCATCATGTCACGTGTATACCTATATAACAAACCTGCACATTCTGCACATGTATACCAGAACTTAATGTATAATAATAATTTTTAAAAAGACATGAACAAAACTGTTTATGACAGCACTGTTTGTAAATAACAAAAAGTGGAAAAGATCTCAATGACTATAAATAGAATACTGGTTACGTAAAAAATATAAGAGGGTTTGATATTTGGGAGTGGGGGATAAAGAAATCTTTTACATTTTATTCTATATGTTTTACAAGCATTTTTTTTATTATTGATTTGTTTGTTTATTATTTATTTATTTATTGTGGAGATGGAATTTCACTCCCAGGCTGGAGTCCAATGGCATAATCTCGGCTCACTGCAACCTCCGACTTCTGGGTTCAAGCGATTTTTCTGCCTCAGCCTCTTGAATAGCTGGGATTACAGGTGCCCGCTACCACGCCACCACATCTAGCTAGTTCTTGCATTTTTAGTAGAGACTGGGTTTCACCATGTTGGCCATGCTAGTCTCAAACTCCTGACCTCAGGTGATCTGCCCGCCTCGACCTCCCAAAGTTCTGGGATTACAGGCTGAGCCACCATGCCCAGCCTTTTACAAACATTTTTCATGGATTAATTGTATAATTAAAATTTTAATGAATAAAATAATAATATTGATAAAAGTAACATAATATTATATAAAACTTGGGAAAAAGAGAAGCCGGATGTGATAACTCAACTTCTGATTGCATATTAGTGTATTTCCAGGTGCTTTTCCTAAATATTTTTTTTTTTTTTATTGATTCATACACTTTCTTAAGGACACAAAACCTTTTGGAACATTTTCCAACCAGACTGAGGGGATTTCCTAAATATATATTAAACAATTCAGTTATTTTAGCTTTAAAAAAATAGTGTATTAAAAATATTCACCTTTCCTTGGGACCATTTTGTCCCTGCAATGAAAGTCAACATTAGTGTGCATAATCCTCCAGATCCAAGTAAACCAATACGTTGGCTGCCTAAGACAGCAGAAACACACATAGTCAAAACAAGAAATCCTCTCTTCAATGAAAGTTCTTCCTAGAATTAGATATTTAGAAATTAGTTTACATTAAATATGTAATACAAGATTTGACATTATCTATCATATATTTTTGACCATTTGAAATTATATCTTTAAATATTATATTAAATGTCTAATATTTTGATTTTCTTTCTCACTATATATTTTAGCTGACTTACTACCATGTAACAAAATTTGCAATTAGTAACGTTTCATCTTTTGCCACATCTCTGATACTAATATCAGTAAAATGTTTAAAGTATTACTTTAAGTCAAGAAGAAAAGAGACCCATAAAATCTGCAGTTTCATATAGAATATCCAATAAATTCTTTTTTTCTTTTTCTTTTCATTTTTTTTCCAAGGAATTCTTAAAAGATAATATTTGAATATCTCTTTGGCTAATATAATTGTTACAGCTAAATTAGGATGGAAATTACAGAAATACAAAAGTAATTATGCAATTACCTTTAAAGCAGGAAATGGCTAAGTTTAAGAGTGCTGCCTATATCAAAGTAGAGTAGGAGTGAATTTAAGTCAGAAAATATGCAGAAATAAATGGGAACCTATCTCCCCCAAAATGTTTAAGGAAAAAATTTGGGGAAATTATCAAACATCAATAGGCAATTTAGTAGAGAAAGGGAAAGTATAATTCCGAGGGATACTCTGCATTAAGTATATTTTTTGATATTCCTTATTTGCTAAATCAGGAAGCAGAGACTTTAATCAAAGCCATTGACCTGTGTCAATCACTGCTATGCTCAGTTTTAAGTACACAGTAGGCATTAGAGGCTAGTTTTAGAGAAATAATAGAGTTAAGTGTTAAATTTCATGGATCTTACCAAAGTTTAATATTTTGAAAAGAATGTCTAATAATATACTTCTATAAAATAGATTCTTTATTTACCTGGTCTTCACTTGGAAAATATTGAAGAAAAAATCCCAAAACAGTTCCTGCCAGCAGACTAATAGATACGTTCCTTATAGAGGATAGGATATTATGAACTATACTACCTGTAAGGGCACACAATAAAAAAAAATTCATGAAGAAATATTTCCACATACACTACATACCAGAAAAGCACATCTAGGTGGTTCATGAAGAAAGGTAAGGATTTAATGGAACACATATATGAAAATGGTTTTTTAATAGTAGCATATATGAAAGCATGTAGATCTATTTTGTACCTTAAATATATACTCTCAAATAATTTAATATGTATGCACAACTCAGAAATGTCCATTATATAAATAGGTCAGAAAACAAAGACTTAACAAGCCACAACATGCTCCCCTTATATAGCCAACTTAAAAGACCAAGTAGTCCAGGTGCAGTGGCTCATGCCTGTAATCCCAGCACTTTGGGAGGCTAAGGCGGGTGGATCATTTGAGGTCAGGAGTTTAAGACCAGCCTGGCCAACATGATGAAACCTCATCTCTATTAAAAATACAAAAATTAGCTGGGCATGGTGGCGCACACCTGTGGTCCCAGGTACTCAGGAGGCTGAGGCAGGAGAATCACTTGAACGCAGGAGGCAGAGGTCGCAGTGAGGTGAGATAGTGCCATCGCACTCCAGCCTGGGCAAAAGAGGGTGACTACATCTCAAAAAAAAAAAAAAAAAAAAAAAAAAAAAAAAAAAAAGAAAAAGAAAAAGTGAAAAAGAAAAAGAATAGACCAAGTGAGGTACAAGAATGGAGAGTGACTGAAACACTCGTGGCATTTAGCATATGGCTGGCAAGGGCTGTATTAATGATTTTTCTTTGATATGCTATATGAAAAATAAACAAATGATTTTAACATAAAAAGAACTGTAACAACAACATAAAAAAATTTTGTTCCAGGGTCAGTCCTTTAAATATTCAAGGATCAATTAGGATTCCAGCATATTCAAATATCTCGTTTTGGTGAAGAAAAAGGAAAAAAAAAAAGATAGAGAAGATTCCAGTATATTTTATATTCATGAATATTAATATATTCATACTTGCAATAAGTAAAAAAATAAAAATAAAAAATATTTTGAGTCACAAAAATAGTTCATTTAAGCTCTGGGTAGTGGATTCAATATAGTCAGTAAGTATATTTTTAGACATATTTTCTTCTAAGTCTAACAGGCAGGGCATGGTAGGCTCATACCTTTAATCCTAGCACTTTTGGAGGCCAAGGCAGAAGGATTGCTTGAGCCCAAGAGTTTGAGTCCAGCTTGGGCAATAGAGCAAAACCCCATCTTTACAAGAGAATTTAAAAATTAGCCAGGTATGTGGTATGTGCCAATAGTCCCAGTACTCAGTAGGCTGAGGAGAAGTTCCCTTGGGCTCAGGAGTTCCAGGCTGCACTACAGTCTGGCTGACAGAGCAACACCCTGTCACTAGAAAATAAAGTATAATAAAAATAAGAAACAATAGAAACAGAGTGATGTCAGCCAGATGGTGGAATGGGAAGCTCCAAACTTTGAGTCTCCACAAAGATACCAATTGAACAACAATATATGATCTAAAATCTGTTACGGCGTTCCATAAACCATTAAGAAGTTGTAGTAGAACAGGTAAGTGCAAAGCCAAGAATAGTGGCATTGATCAAATAAGAAAAGCTGTTGCACTATACTCATGATAGCCCTCTTCCAAGCTGGAACAGGTTGGTGTGGCTGGGAGAAAGCACTCAATTTTCAGCATCTCCATCAGCAGGGAAAAAGAAAACTGGATCAGAACATTTTTGTGAGGTTGCCTGAAGCTCTCTCTTCCTCTAACTTGACACCAAACCTGCATATTTTGGATGCATGGGAGCCACTGAGAATAAAGGAGAAGTCAGAGATAATGCAGCACCAGGGAACCTGCAGTACCACAGATACCAGAGGGAGAAACAGCTTCAGAAAAAGAAACTGGCAAACCTCTACTTGGGATATTGCATGTATAAACCCAAAGAAGATGCACTCCCAGGAAAGGTTTGAGAGGCCGCTAGAACCTACAGCCAGGCTGATTCAGGTAAAGGTCTTCTGTAGGAAGCCAGTTGATAAAAACTGGAAGAAGTAGCAGTTTTTTTGAAGGTCCAAATCTCAGCAAAAATAAATAAAAAATAAAAAACAACAAGGCATAAAAAGAAACAAAGAAACCTAATGACTAAATTAAAGGAGCAAAATAAATCTCCAGAAACCAACCCTAAAGAAGTGGATAACTGAATTACCTGGCAAAGAATCCAAGTTAACTCTCTTAAAGAAGCCCAATGACAACAAAAATAGACAACTAAATGAAATCAGTAAATAATTCATGAACAAAATGAAAATATTAACAAAGAGAAACTTAAAAAAAAAACAACTCTGGAGCAGAGGAATAATTGAATTGAAAAATTCGCTATAGGAAATCACCAACAGACTATGTAACTGTCCAATGGGTTCACCTTGCTTGCACCCTGCCTAGACAGAGCTTATTTACTAAGACAGAAGAATTGCAATGGTGAAAGAGTAACTCATGCAGAGCTGACTCTGCATGAGACTGGAGTTTTATTATTACTTAGTCTTCCCAAGCATTTGGGGATCAGAAGTTTTAAAGATAATTTGGTAGGTAGGGGCTTGGGAAGTGGGGAGTGCTGATTCAGTAGGTTGGAGATGAAATCATAGGGGGTTGAAATGATGTTTTCTTGCTGTCATCTGTTTGCGGGTGGGATGAAAGAACTGGTTGAGCCACATTACCAGTCTGGGTGGTGGTAGATGATTCATCCAGTGCAGGGTCTGCAAAATATCTCAAGCACTGATATTAGGTTTTACAATAGTGATGTTATCCCCAGGAGCAATTTGGGGAGGTTCAGACTCTTGGAGCCAGAGGCTGCATAACCCCTAAACTGTAATTTCTAATCCTGTAGGTAATTTGTTAATCCTGCAAAGGCAGACTGGTCCCTGGAAAGGGATCTTTTTTGGAAACAGCTATTAGCAACTTGGTTTCAGAGTCAAACCATGAACTGAATTCCTTCCCAAAGTTAGTTTATCCTACTCCAGGAATGAACAAGGACAGTTTAAATGTTAGAAGCCAGATGGAATTGATTAGGTCTGATCTCTTTCATTGTCATAATTTCTTCAGTTATAATTTTTGCAAAGGCAGTTTCAATCGCATCAAGCAGAAGAAATAATCAGTCAAACTGAAAACTGGTCATTTGAAATTATGGAGTCAGAGGAGCAAAAGGGAAAAGGAATGAAGAATGAAGAGAGCCTAAGAGACTTATAGAATGCCATCAAGTAGACCGATGTATGCATTATTAAAGTGCCAGAAGGAGAAGAGAAAAATAAAGGGTCAGAGAGCCAGTTAAAAAAAGTAATGACCAATAACTTCTCAATTTAAGGAAGGAAATGGACATACAAATCCAAGAAGCTCAAAGAACTCCAAGTTGGATAATTTGCAAAAGACCTACATGGAGACACATTATAATCAAACTGTCAAAAGTCAAAGACAAAGAGAGAATCCTGAAAGGAACAGAATAAAAGGAACTTTTCACATACAAGGGAGATGTCATATGGTTATCAGTGGAATTCTCATCAAGAACTCTAACAGGCCAGAGGAGAATGGGATGACATATTAAAAGGGCTGAAAAAAAATGTCAACAAAGAATAGTATAGCCAGTAAAACTGTACTTCAGAAATGAAGGACAAACAAAAACTTCCCCAGAGAAGTAAAAGTGAAGAAGTTCATCACCACTAGACCTACCTTACAAAAAATGTTAAAGCAAGTCCTTCAACTGGAAATGAAAAGGCATTGGATGGCAATACAAAATATAAACTTCTTTGGTAAAGGTAAATATATGAGTGAACACAGAATCCTGTAATACTGTAATGGTGGTAAGTAAAACACTTTTTTTCTTTACCTTTTCCTTTTTTCTTTTGAGACAGGGTCTGGCTCTGTTGTCCAGGCTGGAGTACAGTGGTTTGATCATGGCTCACTGCAGCCTTGCAGTCCTGGCCTAAAGCAGTTCTCCCACTTCAGCCTCCCAAGTGACTGCTGCTACAGACATGCACCATCACACTCTAATATTTTAAAGTTTTAGTAGAGACAAGATCTTGCTGGCCTCAAACTCCTAGGCTCAAGTGATCCTCCCATCTTGGCCTTCCAAAGTGCTGGGACTACAGGTGTGAGCCAGCACACCCAGTCTATAAATTACTTTTAATTGAAGCACAGACTTTAAATGGTAAAAGCATAACTTTATTAAATTATGTGAATGAATATACAATATAAAAATATGTATTGTGTGACATCGAAAAAGTGAGAAGGAGATGTAGAGTTTTTGTATGTGATTAAAGTTAAGTTGTTGTCAATTTAAAATAGATTGTTATAACTATGTTTTCATGTAATTCTACAGTAACTACAGATAAAAGACCTATAGAAGATACACAAATAAAAATGGGAAAGGAATCAAAGCATGTCCAAAAAAAGAAATCAATGAAACATAAAGGGAGGCAGGAAGAGAGGAAAAGAGGAACAAAATAGCTACAAGACATATAGAAAACAATTAACAAAATGACAATAGCAAACCCTTCCCTATCAGTAACTACTTTAAATGCAATAGATTAATTCTCCAATCAAAAGACAGAGATTGGTTGAATGGATTAAAAAAAAAAAAAAACAAGATCCAAATATATACTACATGCAAGAGACTCATTAGATCTAAAGACACACAAGGTTGAAAGTGAAAGGATGGAAAAAGATAGTCAGTGCAGATGGTAACCGAAAGAAAACAAGGATGGCCATCCTTAGACAAAATAGAGTTTAAATTAAATAGTATCACAAGTGACAAGGACATTACATAATAATAAAAGGGCCATTTGACCAAAAAGATACAGCAATTTTAAATATATATGCAACTAACAGTCCAACATCCAAATATATGAAGCTAGTAGACATAATTGAGGGGCGACATAGATAGCAACATCATAACAGAAAACTTCAATATTCCACTTTCTTTTTTTTGAGACAGAGTTTCACTCTTGTTACCCAGGCTGGAGTGCAATGGCACGATCTTGGCTCACCGCAACCTC